TTGAAAGAATTTTCAATTTGATTTGATTGGTCAATAGTCACGCATAGATCTACATAAATTAGCCAATCACATAAATGCTATAACCCGTGATTTTCCGTCAAAATGCGAGTTTCTTCTATGCTAACGTCCAGTCGTTATTTAATAAATTGCAAAGCAAATGATTTTGCTTATTTCTTTTAAAAAAATCACAAGGATTATCTCTGAGACTAGACAAGGCTTTAAAAGCAACATTAAGTATTTGTCGCGAACCTCATCCACGATCATACCAGGTTGCAGAAAACCTTGCCAACTTTTTTAACGTTACTTAGTCTACCAAGTAATATACACTTAATACTAACCTTGATCTTTTAAACAAGCAAAAACGTTGAAATCTTTTAACGTATGATTATACTACGAGCTAAGTAAGGTTGTTAAACGTTCGGCCTGAACTGATTCGACTTCAGAAATCGAGTTTTAATTAGATTCAGACTCGAGTAAAAAGACATTATGGTTTAATGTAATGTGATGTATGCGCAGTTATTAAAGTAAACCTGAATCGACTTAACAAAAGCTCGACTCAAACCGACTTGAAAACCAATTAAACCGAGCTGTTAATTGTGGTTTCGCGTCAGTCATGTGAACACGAAATTTATTTGGATTTTTTTTTTTTTTTGACGATCTTAATAGTTTCAAAGTATACCTTGCGCACGAGGATCATATCATCTTTTACATCTCTAGTTGGGTTAGGTAGTACAGCAAATATGCTAATTAATCAGGTTTAACTTAGGTTTAACTGTATAATGTACAAATCGACCGGGCCGCTTTGCATCTTTACTTCTACACTAAACTATACTGTATTAACGTCAATCCTCTTTAAACCACATACTGGTTTTGTAAAACATAAAGCAGGAGATTTGACAGATCAATTGAAACGAGAATTTCTTGAATTTCTTGAATTAGAAAGATTTCATAAGGAGAAGAGAAACTCTTAACGTATTTGGACATTTTAAGTAGTTTTACTTTACATTTTTTTTTTAAAAAAAAAAACTCGATTCTTTTTCATTTGAGTACATATTTATAAATAAATAAAAAATATTTTTGCCCTCGAAGTTGTTTTTTTTTTTACGAAAAACGAGCAGGAAACTTGAATCTATCCTTTTATTGTTCCTTTGCTCTCTTTTTTTTTTATAAAAAAAAAAAAAAAAAGAAAAATAAAAAAAAAAGAAGTTCCAAATCTTGCATCAAGTTTTTCGAAAAAAAATAACTGTACCGCACAAAATAATACAAATAAGGGTAATGAGCCCTGCCAGAAAATATATATAAATATATTGACAAAAAATGATGTAAAAATGGAATGAAATGCGTTCACTTTATACAAGAAAAGGGTTCGAGAAAAAGATGAGATGAAAAAAAAATCATATGAGGATCATATGAGGAAAAGATCAATTATAATAAAAAATGATCTCTTAATTATAATTCTCGTGATGCAAATTTTCTAAGAAAATAACGATAATAATAAATCTAAACTTCTCGAAAATCAGTGTCAGTCCATACGATAGTAAAATCTCTAATAGCTACATTACTTAATCCCTCAAAAGTTTGTTTATAAGAATTATTTTTAAACGGTCTATCAAATGGATATCCTAAAGGTTTAACATCCGGAATTTTATCATTCCAATAATGAGCACCACAAAGTAGAGTACTTCCACATTCGTCATAAGTAGGAACTAAATCATCTGTACCATCAGTAATAAAAACAATGATTTTAAATTTTAATCCTTCTTTGTTTCCCCTTGGTATCATTAAATTATATGGCCAACCACAATCACAAAATAACATTTCAGCAATCTCCGCTTCGTCATGACCATCAGTAAGTATTTTTGTTTCATTTGTTATTTGAGTCGAATCCATTAGTTCTTCAGTTTTTTGAGCAGGTTTTCTAATTACGACGGCTTTATCACATTCACGTACTATTACGGCTTTTTCATAAGGTTTTAAAAATCTTTTAAATTTATCAAGTTCGATCCAATGAACTCTAGAATCAGCAAGTTCTTCAGGAACAATGAAGATACGTAATGTAATTGCTATAGTCTGTGTTAAAAATAAATGTTTAATTAAATATTTAAAAATTGATTAGCATCGATATTAAAAAAAGATGTACAAAAAAAGAATAAATAAGATTTAAATAATATTACATCGTTCTTATCGTTTCTTACGCGAATAAAGTATTGCCAATCTCTTGGATAAAGATAAGTAATATTTTCTTGATCATAATTATCTTCTCTCCAAACAAGTATTCTATTTTTCATTTTGGTGTGTAATTCGTTAGTTACAAAAGTACTATTTGATAAATCACGATCAAAGTTATCGCCACCAAAAATTTGATTAGCAAAACTAAGCCAATTATCTTTTTGACCTTCAGGGTAAACCTCAAGTAGTACGTCAGTAAAAGCAAAGTATATATCAGTTTGTTTAATAGTAACGTTAGGAGCATCATGATGATAATCTGCAGGACCCAAACTATCTTGCCATTTTTTGTAAATGTTGTCTATGTGACGGTGCCATCTCCAAAATAAAGGATCACGTAACCCTGCCCGTGCACCAACAAGCACACTTGGTGCATCTAAAACAATAATAAAATGATCAATAATAGTTAATATAATAATTTATTTTATGAACTTTGGAAGAAATTGTAATTTAACTTACAATCGATAGAATATGGATGCATAATATAACCGAGCATAGCATGCCCGATATTATGCAATATGACCTCAATCTCACTGCCTAAAGTCGTTGCATCATCTTCACTCCGTATAGGGATTGGATGTTCACTATCAATCTGCCCATCGACCCATTTCTCAAGTTCACTCAATGTATGTGTCAGAAATTCAACAGAATAGAATACTACATGACCATTGCTAACTTGAACTAAATAAATAAATATATATATATAATGGTTACCAATATTATTGTTAAAAAGAATAACGAGAAAATAAAATTAGAAATTTAATATTACTAATATCATGGAAGGTTTGGTTTGCAGGACGAGCCGGAAAAGGAACTTTTTTGCCATTAAAATCTTGTAATAAAAATGGTGGAGGATAAAATGCCTCAGGTATTGGCGTAGTATAGTCTATTAAAGGAGTTACTATCTCAAAGCCAACACCAAGGCGCTCTGCATCATATCTATTAGAAATGTAAATAATCACGTGAGTAATAAAATTCACGTGTTTCATATAATACTCGAATACTACACTGACCTTGCCAACATATGTCTATGCATGTATATAAAATTTTCACCTTCTCTGTCTTTTCTTGTTCCATTAACAATGGCAGAAATCATCACTATATGCCAATGCTCATGATGCTGGTTCATTACAGGATCATTCCGCCACCAATACAAAGAATCATTTTCTGGATCGTAAATACTTTTATCTGGCCACCCATCTGGACCAAGTTCCGCTTGAGGTGGATTGATAATTATTTCTTTGAGTTCCATTAACTGCTGTTGTAAACTTGTCAATGTCACTTCCGGTTGTGTACTAGTGGTGTTTGTAGCTGTCTCTGTTGTGTTCGTAGTTGTCTCTGTTGCGTTTGTTTTTGAAGTGTCTGTAGTATCACGTTTGTATAGGCTCCTTTTCTTTTGAGAAGGGCCTGCGTCCCTTTCGCGAAGAGGGTCGGCATCTCTTTGGTGAAGAGGGTCAGCATCCCTTTTTTGAAGTATACCAGCATCCTTTTTGTGAAGAGGACCAGCGTCCCTTTTGTGAAGGGGACCAGCAACCCTTTTGTGAATAGGGTCTGCATCCCTTTTGTGAATAGGGTCAGCCTCCCTTTTTCGAAATTGAACCATACCTAAATTACGTAATTCATCAATGAAAGGGTCCGCATCTCTTTTCTCATGATAATTATTTTCTTGGTAATGTGATTCATAAGATTTGTAAGGTTTACTTTCTGTACAATACTATTAAAATAAGAGATAGGATTAGTTTAAGTCACGTTACTAGTATAAGTACAGTGTGACAAATAATCGTTGAGTTTAAATATTTATCGTTATTCTCAGGTAGATCTATATTTGTTTACAAGATGAGTTTATTTATGAATTAAAAGTTCTTGAGAAATCAACATCTTCGATCAATCTAAGAACAACGATTAAGTAAATATTTATCAAATTCTTACATTAGGGGGCTTTATATGATAACTGTTGTAGCAGCTGTCAGAAACTGACATCGTCCAGAAATTAATCAAAAAATCTGGGAGGATTAAGAGATGGAAGAGAGGAACAAGAGAATTATACGTAAAAACATTCAAAAAAGAAAAAAAGAATAATAAAACAATAATGGTTGCTGTTAAAACAACTTTTCAACTTTATAAAAATTTGCAAACGGGAAAAATAGACCAGAATGATGTTGCCTTTTATCAATATTCGTGGCTGTGTTGTGTTAAAAATGAGTTTAAAGCAAAAAAGTTCAAGTGTATGGATTTTTTTGGGTTTACCGGTTACAAAAAGAAAACTTTTTTTAATAATATACGTGGCTGATTATTCTTTTATGAAAAAAAAAGAACGTAATTTCTTTTTTTTTCTTTTTTGTTTTTTTATGGCGTGACTTTCTTTTTATCGGAACTGAGCCATTCCGAATCAAAACATTTGTCATAATAAGACCTCTCGCGTTTAATATAAAAAAAAAGGACGGAAAAAATTTTGGCATATTTTTAAAACTTTTATTAAAATTGGAGTTATGATTAAAATCATTATTCCACGATGCATCAATGCATTGTCGTTGTAGTGATAGACACCCAGTTTGGAAGAGACATGTAGTTCCTTCAGAAAAGTAATTTATCTTTAATCACATTATGGCATCGTAGAAACTTTTGGAAATTAATTTCTCATTATTGTTATTTCTATCCTTTTCCTAATATAGGAAATTGAGATTTTTTATTTGTATATAAATATTTTTTCGAAAACGAAAAAAAAACATCGATATGATGTTTACTAAGCCTCTAACGAAAATCAGTTTATAACCTGTTTGTTTTATATATATATAATACATTTAATAAATTGTATCTAACGCTAATTTTTCGGTTTTTTTTCCTTAAGAAATTCCTTACTAGACACTTGACTTTGAGATTAATACCATTAATTAATATCTAGAATGATTGATGATAAAAAAACGTGTTTATTGTGTATCATTTTTGGTTAGCATTAAATTGGATTAAAACTTTATGATCTTAATAATTGAACTTTGATTAAATTTTTAAAGAGCTTGAAAGAATTAAAAAGATCAACTTATAAAAAAGTCAATCATGAATTTCATCCTTAAAGCCTACATATGCATGCACCTTTATATTATTCTGATCTCAACGTTAGATTTCATAGACATTACCTTATAAGTAGTGCAATGAGTCTATGATCAATCTTAAAAACAGGAAGTCTCTGTGGCGGTGTTTGTCCCCGTGACTATAGATCACAAAAAAAGGAGATTTACTGATACTATTAATAAATTTTGATATAGCATACAAAGTGTTCCTTTTTCATTATATATGCTTGGAAGGTTTCTCTCTTTGTTAATTATAGATATATGCAAATGTTCATATTATGAATTATAGAAAGTAATCATCCGCGTTTTCTTTTTTTATTAATATACGATCATTGGTTGATATGTATTTACTAAGCGTGGTCGATTAGTAATCGTGTAACCTTGTGCATATATACATACACAGCCATATTTATTTATAATATTCCCGTTAGGTAACTCGAAAAAATTGTTTTTCATATAAAAAGTGCATCCGAAGAAACAGTGATTACTTTACATAAGTTGTTTATTACATGCATCGGTATTATTTTGTACATTATGGTTTTCTTCGAACAAGAATTATTGTCTTGATCGAGAATAACCTTATGTAAATACAGAACGCACGTCTCTATCTGCCTACCTCGTTTTGTTATTATTTTCGTTTTCTTATTTCTTTGGTTTTTTTTTTTTTCTTTTTTTTTCTTATTTAAAATATATTTCAATTCTAATATATCCACTAATAATCTCTCTTGACGATTTTGCTTTCACCCAATCTTCTTCACTTTCTAATGTATGCCATGAACCCTCCTCATGAGATTTGTACCAACTTTTATTCCAATTATGTTTTTTAAATCTTTGATGAATAGCAACATGAAGATGATACAAACTGTCATCAGAAGGATAAATAAATGCCCGTTTTTCACTTGCAAAAATGCAAGTAAGATAAATCTATTAAAAAACGAACCAGTGATATATAATTAGATGGTGATATTTTTTAAAGTTCCATGCTAAATGAATTTGCCTTACTTCAGTCTTTTTTTTGGGTTGAGTTGAATTTTGCACAATAGGAGAATTTTGAGGCGTTGAAGATTGAAACGTCGATGAAATATTTTTGAACTTTGAAGATTGTGTCCAAGAATTATTATTATTATGATTATTATTTTTATTATTATTAATGCTCGAATTTAACGCTGAGAAATTAGGATTTGTTGAAGGTGTCATTGTTGAAAATTTAGGAAGAGATGTGATTTGAGAAGAATTAAAAGTTGTTGAAGATGACGGGGGCCGTAATGAGTATGATGGTTGTGATCGTTGTGATGTAGAATTAAGCCTGTTTTGTTGATCATTTGAATCTTGTCGCGTTCCGAAACTTTTGGTAACTGTCTTAGTTTTGCTAACTATTTTTTGAGTAACCGCAACATAATTTTCAATCATGACTTTAGGTGAAGTTTCTTGTTGAGCTTGTTGAGGTGAAACCTTTATCGAGTTATCAACAGATTGTCGCATCATCTGATTACCATTGGATGATGATGCCTTCATTAATAAAAATAAATTTTGATTAAAAGATTATTTTATATAAAAAAAAAAAATTTTTTTTGTTAAAGATTATTTACTATTGGATATTCTTCACCAATTTCATTTGTTTTTTTCTTATTAAAGTTTTCATTTTTTATATTAAACCCATGATCTGAAAGAAAATCGAAATCTGTCGCGTGATACGATCTTATGAGTAATGAATTAACTCCCGAAAAATGTCCATTCGTTGGATCGGTATTCATTAGAATAGGTTCTTTTTTGTAGGGAAATCCATCAGGATGAGAATAATACTAAAATCAAAAATGGAGTAAACAGAGTTAACTTAATAGTGATAAAATTATATACATATATATATATATATATATATATATATATATATATAGTATATATACATATATAAATATATATATAACTTTATAAAGAAAAAAGATTACATTACCGCTCTGGTAAATCCTGGTCTTAATTTTACTACTAATTCCCTTTCACTAACGAGTTCACAATTATATACTTCACCAAACGGAATTACAACTTCATCTCTCATTTTACGAAAACAGATAGAGACTTGACGAGAAGTTGGTCTAAATAAAAGTCCCATATCTGTAAAAGTTTTTGCCATCATACATCTTTCTTTCGTTGTCAATCCAAAATAAACATGGCTTAAAAGAACTTTGATAACATTTTCTTGACGATCGAATGTTGCTGATGGTGCAAGAACTGAAGAAGTTTTTGCTAAGTCTTAAATATTATTATTATGAAAGAATTAGTGTGAATTGAGGTTAGATTATCTCTAATTTTTTGTAATTTATCGCTCAGACTTTACCAGTTGGTTGTTCAGGCTTTCTTGTACTAACCAACTCTGCATCATCCATATCGTCCATGTTTCAATTAATGTTTTGGAATGAACCGAAAGGTGATCAACAAAAAAAAAAAAAACAAAAAAAAAGAAATCGAATAACTTACAAATACGTAGTACGTAATTATTACATTTATGTGCAAGTCCAAACTCTGTGATAGGTTACGCAGATGATGTACCTGACCGTACCCTAATATCGGTCCAATCATTACACATTGAAGTAATTTTATATGATTGAAAATTTTGTTTAAATCAATAGATAAGAAATGTGTCTATTTGAAAATTTTGCAATGAATTTTTGTTAGGATATAAAAGTTAATTTATTAAGCGAATTCCAAAGATAATTGAGTGTTAAAAAAGCAATGCATATGTGCAATTTGTTTATACTATCATTATATGTTTATAAGATCTCACAAGTTTATTAGTAAAATGTTGCAGGCTTCGATATGATTATTTGCAAATAGAAAACCTGGGACTGGTAACGTCAATCTCCGAATTTCAAACAGAATACAAATATTAATAACATAAATATATAAGTTTCGAAAGCACAATTTAAATTTTTACATTATACAAATGCAGAATATAATAATCTTTTTTATTCTTTTCAGGATACTGTCGTGCGAATGCGATTTTCATTCATTATGCGGAGAATTCGTGTTCCATTACTCGTAAAGTATTTGTATTTTGGTGGAGAGTTCCCGTTAATCTATTGCGAGCTTTTCTATAATTGCAAACAAATTTTCTATTGTATTTTTTGTGGATTTTCTATCGTATTTTTTATACGTATTAAGTTGTCATCTGAATTTACTTATTTGCGCCTTAACGCAAACCAAAAAGGAAATTATATCTAAAACTTAACGTTAATATGTATAGTTAAAGATTCAAGGTTAGAGTAGGCCGTAAATACTAATCAAAAGTAGCTTTTATATGCAAAATTTCATTCTCGACACTTTTATTACTGCGAGGGTCGATTTAGACCCATTTTTTCTTTATTTTCGCATTTGATTTATTTTTTTTTACCTTAAATTTAAATTTGTTAGTCTATTTCATATATAGTTTGTATTAGCGATGCTGTCCAAACCCGATCAAAGGGGTAATGACATTTCTACCTAATTTGGGATTGGTACCGACACTTATCGTAATTTATAACCCAATCCCAAAATTCAACCAATCAACGCTATTCAAAACTTTATATTATCATCCTCTTTTCTCTAGTGGAGACTTCCTAATCAGCGAGTGAATACATAAGAGATATAATTTTATCCGAGTATTTTTTATTTTTTTAGTTACTGTATAAAGGCACAGAATCATTACAATAATGGTCAGCTTTCTAGTTTTTGCTTCTTGCCTATATACAACCTTCACATTGAAGTCTTATCATCTTAAAATCATTTAATATGCAATTCGTTTAAAAATTTTCTTTTAAAAAATAATTAACGACTATAAATATATCATAATTATGAAATAAACTTTAATAAAATGTATATTGTTTTAAAGTTATCAAGAATAGTATATAAGTAACTACTACGTATATATAATGTTACCGGTTTTTTTTTTGTTTTATTATAACAGTAATTAAAGATCTCGTAATGGAACAGGATTTACTTGAAGAGTGTTTTGAAATATCTCAGCATGATGAAGATGGAATTAATGTTGAAAAATGAAAAGCAGAAGCAAGCTTCCAAAATGTAACAGTAAATAAAGGCGGATGTCCCAGATCTGCTATATGGGATGAATTTGATATTGGAGAGTCTGATGGAAAGGGACATTATGAAGCAAAGTGTCGATACTGTATTAAAGGAAAATGGCAGCATGGAAGGCCCTCAGTAATGGAATCTCACTTGGCTTTACATTGCAAAGGTGAAACTCCTGATCAAATAAGACGTTATTGGTTAATTCATGTTGCAAAACGAAATGATAAAGTAAAAGATACTGATAATAGTGACAATGAAAGTATGTCACCATCTTCTTCAAAAAAACCTAAAGTTTCACAATCAAATTTTAAATCTATTGAACCAGTATCGAGTAAAAAGAGTAATGCAATTAATAAAGCATTACTTAAAGCATTTATTTGTTATGGAATTTCATTTTCCGTAGTTGACAACCTATTTTTTAGAGATCTTTTTAAGTTAATTAAACCAGGATATATTCTTCCTGGAAGGACTACACTAGCAGGATGAATTCTTGATGAAGAATCTGCTCGTGTAGCAATACAAATAGATAATTTACTTGAAAAGGAACAGCATCTAACTTTAGATAAAAATTCTCTTTAATATTTGTGTTAAACTATAGTACTATTATATAATAAAGTTATCAAATAGTTAATTAAAAGAATGTATTTATTTTATCGATGAATTTAACAATTTATTATTAAACATATATATTTATAAATAGCGCTTGACGGATGGTCAAACCCAACAAATGACTCATTGTATAATTTTATTATATCTACATCTGAAAGAAAAGAATATTTATATTCTCTTTTAGATTTTTCAGATGCAGTACAAACCGGAGAATTTCTTGCTTCTAAGATTTCAGAAATTATAGACAGAGTTGGTTCTAATAAATTCATGGCTTGCGTAACAGATAATGGAAGCAATATTTGTGTTGCTTGTGAAGTTACTACATATAACTATTCACATATTTGGAATATTAAATGCATCGCATATGCGATAAATCTTATATCAAATAATATAGTAAAAACACAATCTGTTAATCAAGTTCTAAAACAAGCTAGTCAAATTATTCAATTTTTCAAAAAATCACATTTAGCATGTCGACTTCTTCGTAAAGGTATAGAAAATATGAATATAAGTGATGGTGGTTTAGAAACATATACTAAAACAAGATGGGTTTCTATCTTTGAAACTACATCTTTGATTATAAGATTAAGACCAGTTTTTGAAAATGTATGTATTTTTTTACTTAATTATATATATAAATTTTATATTATATATTTATTTAATTTATTTTTTTTAGATCTTAGAAAATAATCGAAATGCAATCAAACCAACTATTATTTCTTT